AAGGCTGATGACTGGCTGAAAACGTCGTACATACGGTCACGTTACTGTAACCGATTCTGGCTCTCTTGGGGTAGTTCAAGAGCTTGCTAGAATATTTGTTCTTCTCGACGCGTAATACGGGTCGGACATCATTATAATAAATGGTATCCCATATTAACATATCGTTCGAATCCTATTATCGGCATCACAGCACTGTTTGGCGCACTTTTGTATGCTTCCAGACATCGACGGCAACCCCTCATGTTATCTGCTATCAAACCGCCTATCCAAAAGAATAAATGTCTGACTTTTTCGTAAATTTGCGAGTACGAAAGATCTCTGGTGCGATAAACATCTTGAATGGTTGACTTTGGCTTACTAATCGTGAGAGTAAGAGACCAAAATCGCATATGAATGGTTTGCCTACTTGAAAATCTTTTGCACCATCATCACTATTACTATGCAATACTATGCTTCCGTCATGAAATCACAATGCCTGATTCCTGCAGCATGGATAGCCTACACATCACCAGCGATATCCTAATCCTTCAAACAGTGTAATTCAAATAAGACAATGTGTTACCACTATCATAACAATCATGTAATTTTTTGTTATAAATCTCTGATAATACACCGAGTTTATTAAATTCAATAACTGATTACAGTTTAGATCTATTTGGATATGGCTCAACCGATAGAAAAAGGAAACGTTCAGAGGAAGATTCTACAAAGGACGAAAATTTAAAAGTAAAACAAAGAAAATTGAACCGAGATCCTATAAGAGCATCGAAAAAGAGACCTATAGTGATAAAACAAGGGTTCAAAGTCAATGATCTTGATACTGGTATAGATAATATAATTAGTGAATATAAAAAAACAATGGATAGTTCAAATAAAGATTATTCCAAACAATTTGAAATTAATTCAAGAGAAATATAACAAAGTTTTATACAAAAAAACATTTTTGGATTTATTATATGATTATTGGGTTTTAGCTAAATTAGAATCAGAGTTAAATATCGAATATGAAAGCGAAATTTTAGTTAATGACGTGGGAAAACTAGTCGAAGAATTTGGGGAGTTGATTTAATAAAAAACTATAAATACATCTATTGAATCCCTTTGTCATTTTATAAAAATGTCTTCTTCTCTTGATATATTCGATGATAGTGGTACCGTATCACAATCTAAGTTTGATCTCTATATGATGTCTAATGATAAACTATTTGAAAAAAACCAACAATTAATCAAGAATATTGAACATAAAGATAAAATAATATCAATACTAACCGATAAC